AAGCAATATTTGAAGTTGATATCTGAACTGCGAATTGTAATCGCAGTAGATAATGAAATCAATTGCTTAATGAATCTGAAGTTAACTATGAAGCACGATTCTCTTGCAGTCCTATGAAGCACAAGGCACTGCTTCACGTAATATCAAATCGGTCTACGAATTGTTCGTGTAACTTCTGGCATTCTATTAGCTAGTCTTGGACTCCAATCACTATTGCCTTCAATTTTACATAAATAACTCACTCGCCATCGTTCGCCATCAATCTCTTCAGAAATGGTTAAACCTCATTTCGCATCATCAGCGATTAGTTTTTTTTTTTAGTCTCTAATTAGTATAACTTTAGTAGAGTATTTCTTGAAGTTTATTGAGGAGTTTCGCGTGACCTTATCAATCAATGGTCGATCATAGCGTGACATGTTGTTAACATGGCCATTATCAGGACAGAAAGGAGCAAATCATAGGCTTTTATTTAGGCTTATTTTTTATTTTCATCATTGATCAGCAATTTTTTGCAAAAACCTAATCGCAAGGCCCAGATCGAAGTGATTGGACGTTTTTTTTTAAATTTTGCCTTAATATCAAGCGCAAAAATTTGTAAGCGATTTAAACATTTTTGCTTTTTAGTTATGTATGGATACTCGCTTCTGAAATGCGCCTCGGGCTAGCGTTACCAAAGTTATGCGACTCTAAAGTTATTTATTGAAGAAACTGCCACGAACTTTTTCCTTACACATTCTGTATTCCTTTGCCAAAATATTTGTAACATTTCAATTTAAGTCGTACATATACAGGCGACTTGCACAAAATGAATGAAGAAAATATTGAAGTATTTATTGAAAGCAATTGTTTAAATATCCCTCAGTGAAGATATTGAGCAAACACACTTCTGAAATTTATTTGCATGTGAATTGAATAAAATTTTTTTTTTTTTCTTATTTTTTCCTATAAATGTAATAAGAAAACTTGTCCTGCACAAACGCCAGTAAATATTTGTAGAATAAACCAATAACAGGGAAAAATTTCTGCAACCTTTTTGACATTTAAGAGTGGAGAGGTTATCTGCTTGATTATAAGAAAATATATATATATATATATATATATTAACCTAATATATATTAACCTAATACTCAACGTGAAGGAAGTGTTTTTGTGCATGTAGTCGAATTGAGTGACAAAATGACTACGAAAAACTTAAACCTTGATCGGCGATTTTCAGTTTACTCCTTCACAGTAACATTCAAGCGGTTGGAAAAAGACTACAGAAGGAGTTCCCGCTCCTCTAATGTTTGAATAGCTTTAATTAAACTGCGTGGTATAAAAACAAGGGAAGTTCGACCCAAATCGTTGTTGAGTGAGAGCTTCAATTATGATTTAAGCAGCGGGCCGGCATAATTTACTAATTTGTGTGACAATGGGACGCGGAAAATATTATAGAAACGATGCGAAGCAATTTCTCTGGACTAAGTTGGCGAACGAAGATTGCAAAGTGTACATGTTTAGCGTCGATTGGGTTGCACTCTGTCCTCCTTGGTTACGCAGTTGGATCGTTTCAGTCCCCGTAACGAAATATTCGAGAAAACTTTAAATATCCAGCTTTTAGGAAGACGTGGCGACAACCTGCACGACCTCCGTTCAAAAGGGGATTAGAACTGTTAATAAATGTCGTAATAAACATATTATTTGAAGTTATAAATTACATAAAATAGAAAACAAAAACAACCAGCACCAACACAGTTACGCAATGTGAATGAAATACGTTTTAATATATTAGCACAATTTCACGTTATCCTCTTTTCCACTTTTGCGAGCTTAAAACACTCATTAGATTATCTGATCGCATATATAAGAACACATACGCAGACCTATACGTTTCTCAATAAGAGCATTAAGACTAAGATTGAAATGAGCAGACATTCATTCTTCTCGATTACGATATACAATCGAGAGCAAAAAAAATCGCAAGTGTCTCATGCGTTCTCACTTTGAACCTAAATATATATTAAGTTAAATTTTGGTTGCAAACATAACTTAAATTAAATTCAATTGCAGATCGTTTCCTTTTAAAAAATGTATAATGCCTACCCGTGATCTTCGAAATCCTGACAGAGGCAATAAAAGGAGCGATAAAAATATGATACATAAGAATAAGGATTGATAGTAATAACATCGTTTGCTTACCAACACCAACACCTTATCGTATACGAGACTAATGAGAAAAAGAAAATAGACACCATACCGGAAGTGATTTTTCAAGTGGTTACACTGATTGAATCTGGGTAAACCAAAGTGTGTTTGCGATTTTTTCTCTCGAGTTTATGATTGAAAGCAATAATAGCCCCAGATATTTTGTAACTCACAAATTAATATTGATTTAAGTAAACTTTAAATGACTTGTACTAATATCTGCTAATGCCTACGATCTCAAGTAGGCAGTGTTTTCTACCCATAACCGAATGAAACTAATTAATTAATGAAAGAAAATAAATAAAAAATAAAAAAAAAAGGAACTTAAACGAATTTCACGCGCACTAGGTGTGAAATTGTAATGACCTACATTAAGCACAAGTAGTAAAATATTAAAGTGTCCAGTCGAAATAAGCGCTATTAAGAAAATAATAAATTAATTAAAGTGCTGAACTGGATAATCGTTTAAAGAATTAATTAAATTTTAAAATAAAATAATAAAATAAAAAAAATATATATATAAAATAAATATTAACATTAAATGATAAACAATTGGAATAAAGAATATTTTTGTCCTATAAGACCCGATCGAACGTTATGAGTCTCATTTACGCTATGCTTACCTTGAGAATGACGATTTAACTCATCGTCACCTATCGTCGTTTAGGTATCTAGACTACAACAGTAGTGTTCATATTTCATATAAATAATTTCTTTACGTTATAGAGGGCGACGAGTCTTTCAACGACGATGATAGTTTGTTAACTGGCCGATCGAACTGGAACGATATTCTACAGAATTTCTAAAAGATCCTTTGACATATCTATATCGGGCCAAGCCACCACATTATCTAAAACAGTTCTTATTTTCGCCAGTGAACACAAAAATTATACCCCGTTTTTATATGAACGTACTATTACGTAACAGTATAATTAATTTTTATATCGAACAACTATTATGGATAAATTTTTATCATAACATATTTAAATTTAGATTTCTCTGTCTTACAATGGATCAGCAGTTTTTGTAAAAATCTATATATAGGATAGGATGCAAAACAATAGCATCAGATTCAAATTTGCTGCAATTAATTTTATTTTATCTTAAACTTCTATTCTTATCTAATTTTCATCATGGAGCATTGGAAATTAAACCTTTTTTGTCATAATGAATTTTAGTTACCATTGTATGAAAGGTGGGGGGGCGGGTTCAAAAAATTGCGTTAGTCGGCCCAAAGTTTTCATACCAGAGTAGAACGCTGAAATACTATTAATTAGCCACTTTTACGATGTTCCCCATCTAACGAATTTTAAAATAGATCGTTATATGGACAGTGGTCGAAAAAGTCGATCGATCCAAAGCATTCTCAATTGAGTTCGTCCTTGCATGCCATTGTAGAAAATATCATCAAAATTTGCAACCTGTAGCTTGAGTACAAGTTTACATAGATAGACATCAGACGAACATATGGGCAGACAAGCTTAGATCGACTCAGCAAATGATTCTGAACTGGTCGATGCAACAAAAGGCGGGTCTATCTTACGTGTTTCTGCGTGTTACGTACGTCCGCGAAAACTTAATATACCCCGTACTACAAGTGGTGTTGGGTATAAAAATACAAGGTGTATATGTATAACAGATTGTTAGGTAATAACTATATTTTTTAAAATTCCCTTAATCTGGGCACTTAGTCGGAGCACCTAAACTGAAAACACAATACCATTTTCTTGTTTAACTTTCTATTAACATGAGCTGGACAACATTTATGTTGGAAGCAATTTTTCTTTATGAATCCAGCAAGCAGGCTAACTTCACCGAGTTCCTCAATTGGACAGCGATTCCGTGTTTTCCTACGGTGTTTATAGCAAATTCTACGTCTTCAGGGAATCCTTAGTTTTTTTTATATATAAATAGGTATCATTAGTGGCACGAAATGCCACAACAAATTTAATTTTCTTACAGAAATCGTAGTATAGAGCAACGAAATACAATTGGGGAAATACTGTGATCAGAAGACGGTCGGTTTATGACCGCGCATGTGTTAGCGACGTCATCTAGTACGGCAGATGTGCTAGACATATCTGCCATATCTCGTGGCGATAGCATCCTGGGGGCGGTACCCGTAACAAGGATGCACGCTTGCTATCAATTAGCAATGAATAATTCCGAAATTGATATTTATTCTGAATATCAGTAAAAGTTTTATATCTGTCATATTTATGGACTAAATTTTCACTGTACATTAATTAAAAAATTTTTTTCAACTTTTGAAGCTTTTGACATAAATCGAGAGAGTGAGAGAGAGAGAGAGAGAGAGAGAGAGAGAGTGAGAGAGATAGTATTAAATAGATAAAAAAAAGGAAAACTATATTAAACTTATAGGCGAAAAGAAACGAAAAATAAACAAAAAGTCAAAGACAATTTTTCTTGTTCGTTGTGAAAACCGACATAAAGAAGCGAAGAGATTAATACGTTTTGTTTTTTTGTTTTTTTTTTGAAAAAGGATAAAACGAGCAAAATATAATAATTATTAGCGCGGAAAATAGTGCTTCAATTATTTGTACTGTAAAGACGACATATCAACAATAAAATATCGACGACCATAAATTATGAAATACAAGTATAAATGAAAAAGACTTACATGCAAGGGGAAAAAACATAGACATTTTCAAGCCAGCAAGCAAAAAACGAAGAAGTGAAGGGGAGAAAAATAAAAGAAAAAAAAAAAGGGCAAACGCTTGAATTGTAAATAAATAAGTAAAAGATTGATTCTGTTACAACACTTAAGCCCGCATTAACGCATTAACGGTAAAGCGATGAACTCGCGGGAGAATGAATATGATTATTTATTTAAAGTTGTACTTCTTGGTGACACAAGCGTAGGTAAAAGTAATTTAGTTTCACGTTTTACGCGCAATGAATTCAATTTGGAATCGAAATCAACGATTGGCGTCGAATTCGCTACTCGTAGCGTGAAAGTGGATGGAATAACGATTAAAGTTCAAGTATGGGATACGGCAGGCCAGGAGTGTTATAGGGCTCTTACATCGGCCTATTATCGTGGCGCTGTAGGTGCTCTGCTAGTTTACGATATAGCCAAACGTATGACATATGAGAATATTGATCGATGGCTGCAAGCATTGCGCTATCATGTCGATCGGGATATAGTGATTATGATGGTAGGCAATAAATCCGATTTGACTGATTTACGTTCTGTAACTACAGATGAGGCGAAACAATTTGCTGAACTTAAAGGACTCAGTTTCATTGAAACATCAGCCCTCGATTCAACTAATGTCGACGCTGCATTCCAAAATGTGCTCGCAGAAATTTATCGCATTTATTCTCAAAGGCAAAGACTCGATCTGCCCGTTGATCGTAATCTTTTACATCCTGAAAATAGAGATGCAATTGATATTACACCGACTATACGCGGCGATGTACGCAAACAGTGCTGTCAATAATCAGCATCTATTGCAGGCTACGCTCTTACAACTTCACGCGGAGTTACAACTTCAATAACAAAAGGAATAACAACAACAATCACATGCTAATATTTAATATTTGATTCGAAACAGAGTCATATTAACGTTGATTATAAAGCGGAGGAGAAAAAATGATGGAAGCAAAAATTGCTTTATCGTTGAGGGGGGTATGACGGGGGGGGACATAAAAATTAGCAAAGAAATTACCCATAGCCATAAAGACTTCTAACTACTCTAAAATTATTTTTTGCAAAATAAAAAGCAATTCCTTATCTTTTTCTACCTTTGGTTCTTTTTTTTTTCGCTTTATTATAGGATAAATTAAAAAAAAAAAAAAAAAAACTCAATGAAATGTTACAAATGATGTACAACGTAAGGCGCGAGCGCATCTCAAGTCGCCAATCAAAATAATCTTTGATACATTGCCGCTCATGATAATTAACTTTAACAATAGTTTCTGTTCTTCTTGTTTTTTTTTTAATCTAATGTATGACTTGGTTCAATTATATTAAGTGGTCTTTAAAAGAGATGTTCGCCTTCTGAAGGCCTTAGCTCATGCGTTATTCATTCAATATATTTACTAATAATTGGGAAAAATTTATCGCTAAATATAATAGTATTAGGTTTAGTACTTAGATTTATCACTTATCGGTGAATGAATTGCATTAAAATGCAACACGCAGGACGCTGGACCGTATTGCATCGTGCATCATGCATTCATGCATGCATGTATGCGACACATTGATCTGTATAATCAACATAATAATATATTTTAAGCCTTATGTACTCTTTCTGCTTAATATTATAATATAAACTAATAAACACTCTAGAGACGTTTATCTAAATTTGAATGTATGTGTGCATTTATAATTAGTGGCCATATATCGTATGTACATTTAAAATTTGCACTTTATAGGCATTAGACCGTAAAATTTCCTTGATATGCAAGACAAGTTTTTGTGTCGTCGCAATAGCAATCGTAAATGGAATTTTGTTGTTAAATACACACAAACATTCACTTTAAAGTTTGTGTTTAATTATTTTTTTTTGTTATACACCCACAGCCACAATTTGTTTATCGTGTCTTTTTTTTTTTTTTTTTTTTTCATATCTACTACAATAACAAAAGCGAAAGCATTTACACTTTTGCAATTGTTTGCGATACGAAGAGCTAATCATTATAAATCGCTACGATAAACGAGATGTCTTTGCATATCAGTTACTTCCAATGTTTGCAAAACTTCAAGTCGATAGCTCCATTTTTGGCGCCAGGAAAATGTGTACAACGCCCATTACACGCAGACGAATAGACGAAAATGCTTAAATCGATTAAGAATTTAGTGATGATCAAGAATATGTATACTTTGCGGAGTCGTTGAAGCCTCCTTCTCGGCTTGGCAAAATGACGATTAATATATGATGATAGAATGAATATACTCCTCATCTTTCGGTGATGGATATAAAAAGATTTATTCCAAAATAAAACCCTAGGTTTGGTGACTTTTTTCTCATATTGTGGCAAGTTTTCTTCAATAATTCTTTCAAAATATTCTTGAATTCTTCACACGAAGTCCCCCTTAAGTGATGAAACTTGATGTTTCTGTCTTTTTAGGCATAGGAAAGACCGGAAAACGAACTTGGCCACAAATAGATTGAATATCTGAACGTTATGCATGTAATAGAAAAACTACTACTAGTTGTTCTTCGTCTCCTTCAAAGAGTTCAATGCATTTCATTATTAATTTTCTATTTTTTTTTGTTTTGTTTTTTTCCATCAGTTTTCTCTTTCAAGTCTTAATTAAGTCAGCGTCTCAATAGAAAAGCTAATCAAATAATGAAATCATACCAAATTATATATCCAATCCAATGTACAAAAAAATTTTATATAGAAACAGGTACATTAGCTAACGAGATCCTTGAACTCACGCACTATCATTATTTCCTTTCGAATTGATCTCATTATCATAGAATATCAACTAAAGTCATACAAACTTTCCAAAGAATGGGGTCGGGAGCAACGTTCAGGTTCAGATCTTTGGGGGGGATTTGAAAACAGTAGATTACGCTATGCACGTACTAATCTCACTTTAATCAAAAATTTGAATATAGAATATAGAAGGAGAGTGAGTGTATTCTTCGTTTTTCTGATGGGTATTTTAAAGCTCTTATGTGTTTATTTATGTATCAAGTCCGACCAATGCTTAGAAGAAAGAGTGAATAAATCAGCGTAACACTAAATAGATTACATCGGTTAGCTTTCCTATGTCGGGTACGTTGAAAGTAATTTTATCACTTCTCTTATACATGTCTACGTATCTTCATAGAACAGTCCACCTCGCAGGTCAAAAACCAAAAACTTAACTTTTTTTTTTTTTTTGTTATGTTCATAAATCAAGCGTTCTGCCCACAAATTCTTTTATAAGAGACTCAAATGTCAAAAGAATGAGAAATAAAAAAAGAAATAATTGAAAAGTATTGCTCTCAATATTATTATTGTTAATTTCGCCAGAGAAATAAATTCTAAGACTAAACTCTTAGTCTTAGCATCTAAGCATCTAAGGCTATTAGCTTTTATTAAAAACTCTACCGCACTTGAGAATCGAATCCACGATCATTGACTTGCTAGTCGAGATTCCTCGCCTTCGGCTACTCAGGCGGATTGCTCTCAATAATAACAAATGAAAAGGCTATAGTTGGATGCGGCCCGCTCTTAAATACTCTATGCTACTCTTCAAAATAAGACATTTTATGGGAAGTGATCGAAAAGATGGTCGAACTTGAGCCATTTTCAATATCGCTTGACTTTGAGCCGAAACGCGTCAGTGTACACAAATTCCTTGAAAATATCAAACACAAATTACGGCCTGTAAGTTGAACACGAGGATATAAGAGGGAAAATCGGCCATATAGACGGACAGACAAGTCTAGATGGATATAGTAAAAGGTGGATCTCACTCAAGTGCTTTTGAGTGTTGCATGCATAGGATGTTGCATACATTGGATGTTGCATACATACGATATTTAAGCCCAACTACTGAGTATCCATTATTTGTCCTAGAACTAATTAAATTTTCGCGCTTTTATATAGAAAAAAAAAAGTATTTATATATCACGATAAGCACGAACTTCTTGTGTTAACTAACTTTTATGTAATTTTCTTATCGAAAGGACTTTAAAGTTCATTGTTGTAATCACAATACGTAAGTAGTGTTGATCGAAATCCTATTTGTAGTTGTTGTTGTATTTATATTATATATTTCTTTTTCGTATTGTCTGTCCCTATATTTACTTGCCTTTTATAATATTTCCAAGGATTTTTTTTGATTCAGTAACTCAAACATTTTTTTTTGACGCGAAGTTTTAAATACTTGTTCATTATTTGTTTGTGCGTGTGTTTAACTGTTTGTTTTTTTTTTTTTTTTAACATTTATTTGCAAGCATTCTATGTCGCAACACCGAACTGAAGGAAATATTTACTCGGCGGCAATGAAAAGTTGGCGAGAATCCTCAAAGAACGATGAACTATTTATACCATACGTAGACGTAGCATCAGCAATAGTGGGTTGGGGGCGGATAGGATGAGGTGGAGAAGATCAAAAGTAAAACGGAAATAAAAAGTGTTACTTTAACGGATATAAACCCTTGACTCTATGGATTCGCTCTTTTACTCGTTTCAATTGTCGGTTACAGCGATTGTTGTTGTTATTGTTATTATTATTGTTGTTTATATAAATAAGCCACAAAACCACAACAACAAATGAAGCAAGAAGAGTAAGAAAGTTATGTTCACCTTAAGACGATTTTTGCATACTCAACGCCTCAAATTACTTCAATTAGATTTCAGAGCAGAGCATAGGAAAAATCTTGGTTTTTTTTGTCATTTGTATTCTAAAGCGATTTAGACCCTTCTCTCACCGTATAATCCTTAGTTGATCTCTATTCGTGCCTCTTCGTTCGCAATTTCACTGATAGAGAAACGTGAAAAATAAAAAATAATTTCATAAAATGCTCTTTATTGATGGATGATAACAAGTGAAATTTATAAATAGCCATTAACTTATCGCACAAATGCTTGCAATGGCTTGGAAGTAGAAAATCTAAAATTTGCTTATGGACCTTAAAGAAAAATACAACACAACCGCATAAGTTTGCTTCAAAATTTATTTCATCCTTCGGAACTAAGTCCACTCACGTCGAGCATATTCATGTAAAATTTTTTTCACTTTTCGAATGAATTGAAATCGATTTCCAAAATGACCCTCAAAAGCAGACCTTCAGAATTCGACTTGTGCCGGTTCAATTGAATCGTTCTATTTGCTTGAAGCGCTGCTCGTAGTTTTAGAGAATGATGAGAGCGCAATTTCAGCGCAAAAGTCTCGGAGAATGAGTGTAATTTAAGAAGCAGTGGCATCGTTAGACAAATTTGAAGCATATTCATGTCATATTTGCGTGATATCAACCAAGTTTCAATCAAATTTTCTTTTTTTTAGATTAAAGTTTTTTAATCCTTTTTGTGACAATTTTTAAACCTAATCGTAGAAAGTCTTTTTTTTATAATCATAGTCATATCACGATGTGTCTTCCAGTTGCTTATGAGAATTACGGGAATAATTAAAATGTTGTCACTTTCGTTAATAGTTTAAATTGATTTTGTTATCCCAATCAAGTTGAAAGGTTCATTGTGCGTGCATCAGGATTAAATATGATTTTTAAAAGTAAACGACAAACGATTCCATTCAGTTGTGCCGTTTCGAACGCGACAGTTTTGATGCTCTGGCAGATTTCTGGCAGACAGAATACACTAAGTGGGTCATGATCGATTGCGATAATCGATTTTCGATTCTTAGATTATAAAGATCGATAGCGCCTTTTTGTTCCGCGAATTGCTTGAAAATAGGTCCTTTGACGGGACGAAATTAACATTGTCTTATCTAAGTTAACCGTTAGATTTTACGGTTATTTCACGTAGATTACTAGCA